GAAGGGTGACTGGTCCTGTCAACAGGTGATACAGGCCACTCTCACTGTGGTGATATCTGAAGATGCTAAAAAGTTACTCATAACTCTGTTATAGGCCTGCCAGACACCAGTGAGGTTTCCTCTGTAGGTTAAAGCATCTTGGTAGTGGAAGGAACATGGTGATTAGTTAATATATTAGTATGGTTTGGTTTATTCCTCCCTTTAATGCTAATTCTGAACAGCTGTTTAAATACTGCTATTTAATACTACAATCCGCCCCATTTCAGTCCCACATTCCCAATTTCTTGTCCCTGTTCTACTTTTCATATTTTCTGTAGCGCATGCTGGTAAAATGTGTTTCTTGATTATATCTATAGTCTGTCTTCTGCCCCCCGACCCCACCATCACAGGACAGGGACCTTTGTTTTTGTTCATAAATTTATTGCAAGCACCTACAAAATTGCCTGGCACATAGTAGGTGCTAAGTAAGTATTTGACGAATTAATAGATCTACCTAAATTGGGGATTATACCTCTTTTGGGGTTAGCTCATTGTAATTCTTTAATCACACAATGAAAATTTTAGGATTTTAAAAGAGGCATTTTACTGCCTTTCTGAAGATAAAAAGCAGGACGCCCTTGGTAACAACCAATTGTTACTTTCTGACAATTTCCTTCATTAAAATATAGAAAGCAGGTCGGCATAGTAGGGACTTGCTTGGTGGTCTAGTGGTTAGGACTCTGCGCATCCACTGCAGGGGGCACAGGTTCAATCCCTGGTCTGGGAACTAAGATTCCTGGGTTGTGAGGAGCGACCAAAAAGAAAAAAAATTCTAGACATGACATTATCTCCTTCCTTATTCTGGGACAAGGGCAGACTGATATTGGTGACATATATCCAGGAGCAACAATCATCACACCCTACTAATTCCATGTTTCCCACAAGGATGACAAATTGTTCTTTCTTGTCTTTAGGGCTTTTAGGGGCCATGAAGAATATGTTGGTGCCCTGAAGCCTGGAGAATCCTATGAACAGAGGAGCCTGGTGGACTCCACTCCATAGCGTTGCAAAGAGTCAGACACGTCTGAGTAACACACACACACACAAAGACTCCCCAGACTGTTTAGAATCAGAGTGTGTGTGTGTGTGTGTGTGTGTGTGTGTGTGTGTGTGCTCAGTCGGGTGCAACTCTTTACAACCCCAAGAACTGTAGCATGCCAGGCTCCTCTGTCCATGGAATTTTCCAGGCAAGAACATGGAGCTGGTTGCCATTTCCTCCTCCAAGAGATCTTCCTGACCCAGTGATTGAACCCATGTCTCTTGCATCTCCTGCATTGGCAGGCAGATTCTTCACCATTGCATGACCTTAGAAATAGTAGTGTTTCTCAAATTTGCCCAGTATATATTTTATATATATATATATGTATATATGTGTGTATATATATATATATATATATATATATATATAGTAGTAGCCTGCATCCAAGGTGACCCTGTGGAAAATTCTTAAAAGAGATGGGAATGCCAGACCTCGTTACCTGTCTCTTGAGATACCTATATGCAGGGTAAGAAGCATCAGTTAGAACCAGACAAGGAACAATGGACTGGTTCAAAATTGGGAAAGGAGTACATCAAGGCTATATATTGTCATCCTGCTTATTTAACTTATATGCAGAGTACATCATGCAAAATGCTGGACTGGATGACTCACAAGCTGGAATCAAGATTGCCAGGAGAAATATCAACAACCTCAGAAATGTAGATGTTACCACTCTAATGGCAGAAGGCAAAGAGGAACTAAAGAACCTCTTGATGAGGGTGAAGGAGAGTGAAAAAGCTGACTTAAAACTCAACATTCAGAAAACGAAGATCATGGCATTCCCATCCCACCACTTCATGGCAAATAGATGGAGAAAAAGTGGAAACAGTGATAGATTTTATTTTCTCGGGCTCCAAAATCACTGAAGACGGTGAACACAGCCATTAAATTAAAAGTCACTTGCTCCTTGGAAAAAAAGCTATGACAAAACTAGGCAGCATATTAAGAAGCTAAGAAGCAGAGATATCACTTTGCCAACAAAGATCCATATAGTCAAAATCTAGCACATACATGCCCACTTGGTTTTTCCAGTAGTTATATATAGAATGTGAGATTTGAACCATAAAGAAGGCTGAGTGCCGAAGAATTGATGCTTTCAAACTAATGGTGCTGGAGAAGACTCTTGAGAGTCACTTGGACAGCAAGAAGATCAAATCAGTAAATCCTAAAGGCAATCAATCCTGAATATTCACTGGAAGGACTGATGCTGAAGCTGAAGCTCCAATACTTTGACCACCTGATTTGTGAAAAACTGACTCACTGGAAAAGACCCTGATGCTGGGAAAGACTGAGGGCAAGAGGGGAAGAGGGTAACAGAGGATGAGATGGTTGGTTGGCATCATTGACTGAATGGACATGAATTTGAGCAAACTCTGGGAGATAGTGAAGGACAGGGAAGTCTGGCATGCTGCAGTTTATGGGGTCGTAAAGAGTCAGCGACAACTTAGCGACCGAACAACAACAAAGGTGACCCCCAGTCATCCTTGCCTCCTGGTCTCCACACTCATGTGGTCCCTCCCACAGTGAATCAAGGCTGGTTTGTGTGACTGATAGAATCTTGCAGAAGTGACCGTGCATGTCATCCAGCACTCATCATAAAAGGCACTGGGCCATCTACACTGGTCTCTCGGGTCTCCAGCTCTTAGGAAGCAAGCTGCCGTGGTGTGGAGACTCTGAGGCAGCTCGTTGGAAAGACCCACTTAGAAAGGTCAAAAGAGAGCACCAACTTGCCAGGCATGGAAGTGAGCCAGCCACCCAGGAAGTGGGAAGTCAAGCCTTCAGATGACCACAGCCCCAGCTGACCTCTGCCTGCAACTTTATGGGAGATCCTGAAGCAAAATTTAGTTCCTCAATTCCTGACCCACAGAAACTGTTCAGTTCAGTTCAGTTCAGTCACTCAGTTGTGTCCAACTGTTTGCAACTCCATGGACTATACAGTCCATGGAATTCTCCAGGCCAGCATACTGGAGTGGGTAGCTGTCACCTTCTCCAGGGGATCTTCCAACCCAGGGATCGAACCCAGGTCTCCCTCACTGCAGGCTGATTTTTCACCAGCTGGGTCACAAGGAAAGCCCAAGAATACTGGAATGGGTAGCCTATCCCTTCTCCAGTGGATCTTCCCGACCCAGGAATCGAACTGGGTCTCCTGCATTGCAGACAGATTCTTTACCAACTGAGCTATCAGGGAAGCCCTTAATAAATAGAGATATAATAAAATGAGACAACTAACAAATACACAAATTCCTTTAAGATGAAAAAATTACTTCTGACCCTATATTAATTAAATTATTTTTATTATTTTACTTAAATAGTACAAACATACAGTATAAACTCCTTAGGCTTATAGCTTTTATACAACAATTAAAACAAATTTTAAATGTAAATACAGATCATATTACAAAACAATCAAATAAAAAGTAATTTTAATTACTGAAGTTAAATTGCCACTCAGTGAGACTATGGTACTGACGGTGCCTAAGACCTCACCTCCTAAGACGGTGCCTGTTCAGTGACTTGAATAAATTACCCTTTATCCCTTAAGCCTGTTTGAGTGGGTTTTCTGTGGCTTTCAACCAAGGCTTTTTCCAACAATATATTGGGTTGGCCAAAATGTTCCTTTGGTTAGTGAGAATGTTTAATAGAGTCCTTGGTAGAAATGAAAAACGCGTCTTTTATATTTACTTAAACCGAAATTTTTGGTCAACCCCGTAGTTATCTTCTGTTTCCACAGTTTGGGAAACCTTGAAAACAAATAAACGGAGCACCATAAGCCAGGCGCTCGTTTTCACCCTCTCCGTCTGAACATCGGTACCTTAACCATCTCGCCCCTTCACTCACTGCTTCAGCCACGGCACTCGCGCGTTTGACCAGAGGCCAGCCGGAGGGGCCAAGTCCTCAGGCCGACGGGCAGCACTTCGTCCCCGGGTCTCGGAGCCCGCGTTCTGCCGGCTCACGCACTGCAGCAGCCGTGCTTGCCCCTCGTTCTACTCGCAAGTTCCCAGCGCCAGTTGGAAACCGGGGCACGTGGAATTTTACCCTCGATTGGACTGTCACTGTCGTACTCCACAATTGAACTCCTAGGCGCGACCTGAGTCACACGGAGTTCCTAGAGGACAGGGCAGGGCAAAGAGCCGGGGACACTCTGCACCAGGACTAATACTGGATGATTCACAGCTGATGGCAACTGGGCTGCCTCGCCCCGATCTCCGCGCCCAGGAGACGTCAGCAAGATCCCATCGCCCACACAAGGCTAGCATTCGGTACAAGGAAGCCCTGTGTGATTTAAAGGAAGAGTCTTAAGCCTCTACACCTCAGGCTGTCAGCACACTTCACCTCAGCTGTGTTTCCCTCTCTGGTTAAGGGCGGTCCCGGAGTCCTGGGTGGCCCAGCACTACCTCTGCTCGGCCATCGGGGGGCAGTAGGCCTCGAGGAAGGTTGCGGGCGTGCTCTTTGTGGGCATGCTCGCTCTTCGCCTTCGCGACGGCCGAGTGACGGAAGCGAGCTCTTGGGATTATGGGAAATATGGTTTCTCAGCCCCGGAATGATTGGTGCACTCCTTTCTTGAGCCCAGGGTGGGACTTCAACTCCCGGCTAGCTGTGGGAGCAGGTGGGGATGCGAGAAGGGGGCGGGGCAAGCGAGAGAAAAGGTAGGCGGGGCTGGGGGAAGGCCCAGCGGAGGAGGCGGGGCTCCGACCGGCTGATCCTCCGCCGCCAGCGGTCGGAGGAACGTGAGTCCCGGGCCCTGGAGCCGAGAGGAATCTAGACGGCGGCGGGCGCGGGGGCGGGTGTCCCCGGAGTGGTCGTGCGGGAGTCGGCCGCTGCCCCTGGGCCTCCCGACTTGCAGGTCCCCTCTCTCTCCACCGGGACGCGGGAGAGCCCGGCGCGCGGCGGGGGCGCGAGGTGGAGCCGGCGGGGGCGGCCAATGCGAAACTGGCTGGTGCTGCTGTGCCCGTGTGTGCTCGGGGCCGCGCTGCACCTCTGGCTGCGGCTGCGCTCCCCGCCGCCCGCCCGCGCCTCGGGGGCTGGCCCGGCAGGTGAGGACCTGGGGCCGGGCCGGGCAGCCCCGAGGCGGGGAGGCCAGCTCCGAGCCTCCCGGCGGCTTCCTTCGGGGGTCCCGGACTGGGGGGAGGGCGGCCCGACGCGAAGGTCCGCAGATGAAACAAATAACCCTCTTTATCCGCGGGGCGTTAACATCGGGCAAACTTGAGGGCGCTTCCCACCTCCCCGCGTTTCTCAATGGCCACAAGGCCGGTGCACGCGACCGCAAGTCCTCCGGCTGTCCCCAGGCCTGGCCCGGGCCGCTCGGCGCCTGTCCGGGAGCAAAGCCCCGTGGGTCCTTCTGCCCCGAGCGGCTGCTGTTCAGCCTAGCAAGGGGCTACCAGGTTGCTTTTTTCCTGCCCAAGTTGTTGGTCTTATTCGGTCAAGACTTTGAGGTCTTCGGGCCAGGGATCACGTTTGTGCGTGTTTTAAAAGGTGGCTGGGATTTGCTTTTAAGAATAAGTTTGCTTTAAAAAGGTATTGCAGTTTGTATTCTTTGAAAACTCTGATGCAAGTCTGTTGAACAAACTTAGGCATGAAGTAGGGAATGGCTGCGAGTGGAGTTGTTCCTGGGAGTTTCCTTTGCAAAGCCTGCTAATGAAACATCCACGAAAGTATCGAGTTCTTTAACTATGTTAACCGTTTGCTCTAAAAAGTTATTCTTTCTTGGGAAAGCCTTTGTGTTCTCTTCACAGCCAGATAAATAGAATGCTTTGCCCACAGCCCAATGGATTTGCTGTTAATGAATTCCACCGCTCCTAAGACTTAAGGTTTCTTTCTTTCTTTTTTTTTTTTTTTGTCTTCTTTTTTAAGGGCTTGCCCTAGGACATATTATATAAAGAAGCCTGGAAGGCTGTTGTAAAGATGAGATAATAGTCATTTTGGTTTTTAACTACATTGGGAATTTTTTTCTTACCACTTCTTCCCAAGACAGTTGTTTGCTTGTGCAGTATTTTTAAGGATTAGAATTGAATATTTGCAATCCTGAGATGGCTCTGTGCCTTAACTTAGAAGTAGAAAGTATAGAAACTAATTTGGCAATCCTCAAAGCAGGATTGTTATAATTGGAGTTCTTTATTCTGGAAACACTCTCTTAAAATCCTTTTCTCTTAGACAAGCTACAAGCTCTTTGAAAAGACTATTTGTGTGACCTGAATAGAATTAAGATACTATTTAAATGATTTAATGAAAGTGCAGCATTTCAGGACATTTTACTTAACAGGTTAGGATTTTGTTTTTGTTTTCTTTTTTTTAGACTTTTGTAAATGGACCTGAGGAAAGAGTGCTATATAGAGAGAGCACTATATTTATATACATATATATATATATATATATATATATATATATATATAATGCTCTGTAAGATTCATTGTGTTTGTATTTTACAAGGTTTTTTTTTTGTTTTTTTTTTTTTTTTGGTTTGATGAGTGAGCTCTACTGGAATTTATTTTTAGAGTGTACTTGGGGGTGTTTATGACTTAAATATCTTTTAGGGTCCATAAACATGCAAAAACCCTGTATTCTTTTAGATGATAGCCATTCTGACAAGTGTGGAGTGATATCTGTTTGTGATTTTGATTTGCAGTTCCCTAATGATTAGGGATCTTGAGCATCTTTTCATGTGCCTGTTGGCCATCTGCATTTCCTCTTTGGAAAAGTGTCTCCAGTTCTTCTGCCCATTTTTTAATTGGGTTGCTTTTTGATGGTGAATTGTATGATCTGTTTATATATGTTGGATGTCAATCACTCATTGGTCCTATTGTTTGTAAATATTTTCTCCTATTCAGTAGATTGGCTTTTTGTTTCTGTCAGTGGTTTCCTTTGGTGTGCAAAAGCTTTTAAGTTTAATTAGATCCCCTTTGTTTATTTCTGCTTTTATTTCCTTTAGGAGATGGGTCCAAAAACATATTGCTGTGATTTATGGCAAAGAGTGTTCTGCCTGTTTTTTCCTCAAAGAGTTTTATAGTATTTAATCTTACATTAGATTATATGTAAGATTATATACTGTGGTGTTGGAGAAGTCTCTTGAGATCTCTTGGACTGCAAGGAGATTCAACCAGTCAATCCTAAAGGAAATCAGTCCTGAATTTTCATTGGAAGGACTGATGTTGAAGCTGAAACGCCAATACTTTGGCCACCTGATAGGAAGAACTGACTCATTTGAAAAGACCCTGATGCTGGGAAAGATTAAGGGCGGGAGGAAAAAGGGATGACAGAGGATGAGATGGTTGGATGGCATCTCCAACTCGATGGACATGAGTTTGAGTACGCTCCGGGAGTTGGTGATGGACAGGGAGGCCTGGCGTGCTGTGGTCCATGAGGTGGCAAAGAGTCACACACAACTGAGCAGCTGAACTGAACTGAGTCTTACATTAGGTCTTTAATCCATTCTGAGTTTATTTTTGTTTATGGTGTTAGAGAATGTTCTGATTTTGTTCTTTTACATGTGGCTGTGCGATTTTCCCAGCACCACTTCCTGAAGAGATTTTTTTCCCATTGTCTCATCTTGCCTCCTTTGTCATTGATTATGGGCCATAAGTGTGTGTGTTTATTCTGGGCCTTCTCTCCCCACTGATGCGTGTGTCTGCTTTTGTCCCACTGCCATACTGTTTTGATGACTGTAGCCTTGTAGTGTAGTCTGAAGTCAGGGAGCCTCATTCCTCCAGCTCTGTTCTTTCTTAAGATTGTTTTGGCTCTTTGGGGTCTTCTGTGTTAAAAATTATTTGCTCCAGTTCTGTAAATTTTATGGCTTCATATCCAACCCTCTTGATGCTTGTCTTTGTTCCTGGAGCTCATCCCACCATGCTCGCATTTTCTCATAGTGCTCCCAGCCTCAAAGGCACGCCCTTTGCCCTGAGTCTACACTGGGTCTCTCTTGTCTCTCTTCCACTCAAGAAGCCAGTCTTCCCTGGACCACTCTTGGGGTAAAGGGGTTACTCCTTCCTAGTTTTTTTTTTTTTTTTTAATTCCTGTGGGTTCACTTCAAAGTATTAAAAGTAACTTTGTAAACAGTTTTTTTCTTTTTAAGAGTTAAGTTTTCCCCCCTCCATTAGTTTTGATGCTGCCTTATCTGTCATCTTGTGAGACCAGGCTAGATTAAGGAAAGGAGGAAGGAGACCTTGGAAAGGGACACAGCTCTTAGTGAGGAGTTCAGTACTAGTTGTGTAAGTTAACTTTGACTTTAAATGGATATTGTACATCCAGTCAAATAGTAAATAGAGTATTTTAATCTAAGTGAAACCTTGGCGAGTCCTAACTTTTCCTTTTGCACTTTTGGTACTTTTGAAACTAAAAACAATAGAAGCATCTCAATTGCTAAAATTTCCCACAAATCCTTTTCTCATCATGTTGTCACCAGTTCAAACTAAAACATTTGAGCATTTTTACATTTCAGCCCTTATCCCTTAAGCCTAAAGTGAGAGAGAAAACCCAAAAGTTTGTTAGTATTCGTCCCTTGTATTTACATTTTAAGTTTCGTTTTTGTTCTCTTTTCTGCCTCTTTGTCTGTCTTCAGTTTCATTAAGTCATGGCAGTATTTTTCAAAAGGGAGATTTATCTCCCCTGAATATTAAAAAAGGCTCTCTAACTTGCAGCTGACTCTACAAATGTTTGAGAGCTGCCTCACTGCCAACTCCTGTTGTAGGTGTGGAATTTAAACAGTAATCAAGATAATGTCCCTGCCCTCATGCAGTTTACAATTTTGAAGGGAAGACAGAACATAGGAAAGTAATTATTCAATGTCATAGGGGAGAGTGATAAGTGTGGTGGCAAAAAATAAAGCAGCGTAAGAGGACAGAATGGTGTGCTGTTGTGTTAAGGAGAGTGGTCAGGGGAGTTCGCTCGTGGTCACAGTTGGGCAGGAACCTGAATGCAGTGAGTCAGTGGGTTAGTGTCTGGTGCTGTTCTAATGTGGGGCTTTCTAGGTGGTGCTGGTGGTAAAGAACCCGCCTGCCGATGCAGTGGACTTAAGAGACCCGGGTATGATCCCTGGGTCGGGCAGGTTCCCTGGAGGAGGGCACGACAACCCACTCCAGCGTACTTGCCTGGGGAATCCTCCCATGGACAGTGGAGCCTGGCGGGCTGCAGTCCATAGGGTCACAAGGAGTCAGACACGACTGAAGCGACTTAGCACATAGGCACGCTGTTCTGAGGACCTTGAACAGGCGAAACCTGGTCAGAGAGAACAGCTGATGAAGAGCAAGCAGCTCTTCTGTTGTGAAATCCCATGCATCTGGGGTGAGGAGAGGACCATGGAGGCCCAGCCAGCCATTTGAGCTGGAGAACAACGATACAGGATATCTCGATTTTAATGTGCTGCTTTTGGGTTGTGCCTTAGCAGGAATTAACTTAGCAGTTAACTTAGAAAAATGATGTGACAAAAGAAGTTTCTCTCTCTAGGATATTTGGGAAGACGGAAACCAAGAAAGCAAAGAAGCATAGCCATTCAACAAGTCCTTAGAGCGCTGGGTTTTTGGTCTCAGCCCTCAAGGTATTCATAGTTTGTTAAATGGAAACTGACATGAGGCACGCAGAAGGTCAAAGACAAATTGAGCTTGCTTAGTGGTTTCACCTAGGGCTGTTTCATCTGAAATGATCCCTAAATGCTAATCTTGTCTCAGCGCTTCTGTGGTTTCCTTATTTATAAGATGATGACCTCATAGGGTTATTGTGAAGATTCTGTTAATAAAACACCCAGAACACTGCCTGATTTATTGTGAACACTTCGTGAATGTTAGAGAGAAGTGGTAGTTTGATGAAGGCTAATGCCCATGCCAGTGAGGTGGTTTTTTTGCAGGGGGAGGGGGCTATCGTCTGAAATTGGTGAGAGCATGCTGGTAGTGTGTATAATGATTGTCCTAATCAGTAGATCTGTGGTGGACTTGCACGTTTTCTTCATTTTCTAGGTTTCTGCCTGTCTGTGGTTGATGTCATCTGAGAGCATGCACATAAGAGTGGAAATTTCAATCTCAGTTTTAAGGATCTTTGAGCTTATTTT